GTTGCGTTAATTTTTGAGGCCTCACTGCATTTTTTCAAACTGCCATTTACTAAAATGGCACGGCAAATTTAGAAATTATAGTTGAATCCCACTAATTTACGCTTCTGTCATTGGCCATGTTTCAGAAATAGTAAAGAACTATGAGTTTTCTGTTATGAGCATGTGTTGAAGCTGTGCTATTTAACTGTACAGACTGCGAGTTTTCGCACAGAATATCCACAGTCCTGTACAACAATCAACATGATATATTGAGAGGTCTTAAGATAGTTCAGTTCCGAAATTTCATAATACCAAAACCTTAAAAGATTTAGATCCTCCAACATTTCAATGCCTCTTATCTCCATTTCTTTACTTCGTCTCAGGTGGAAATGTGACATATAGTACCTCGAAGTCTATTATTTTATCTGTATTCCTATAGCTGTCCAGCACTTCGAAAAGTTGTTGCAAGTTTAACTGATACTGAACGATACTGATATGATATATGCAACAGATAAGTACGAAATGGGCATATATATGAATGAAAGACCCACGTAACTGCCTCTCTGGGTGACAAAAAGGCAGCAGATTTTGTTGCGATTATTAGAAATCCTGGCGTAATTTACGCAAGGCTGACGTTTGAGAAGTGAAATGCTTTTATCACGAAAGGTATCTCAGGAAACATACCATGTTTGCTGCTCGAGCATGATTGTCACATCAGAGTTGTTTTTATCCAGAAACTGAAGATGGCATTCCTTTAGGCCCGGACTATAAAACGCAGCAGGACGAGAACAAGCTTTAATCAGCCTCGTTGTTGCCAAGGATTAGGGAATATAACGGTAAAGGAAGCGTAAGCTTGGGAAAAAAAGTATGAAATAAAAAGTAAAAATGGTTTGGCAACCATTTTGTAGGGCGGGAAATCTCATACTCTATACGTAGCTTTAAAAATGTCTATTTGTTGAAGCAGTGACTCATCCTCACATTCTGTTAATGACCAGTATAAGATAATTAGACATCAAGTGAATTTGCTCATATTGTACTCCAGAATGTTGAAAATATTTGCTTTTTGTAGACGATTCGCTAACAATGTAACAAATAAAGAATTCGGAACTTTACCTGTTTGTTTTAAATTTTTTAGTAAGAACCGGAAATTGAATAAGATTATAAAATGTATTAAGTTTTTCCACATATTATCAAACCTTTTTCAGCATTTCATATTTTACAATCAAAATCATCATCCAAATTGCATTCTAATGTTTAATCATCACGGTAGAGTAATTAAAGTGAAGACATACATAAATTATTCTCACTAAATATAATTTATGAGAGAAGATTCTGGAACAGCAGACGTTATCACACGTTTTTGAGAATGAAATAATAATTTGATTATACAATTAAGCGGTTGAACAATAATAACTACATTTAAAAATAACATAGATTGAGACAAAACTGTTTCAAGAATATGTCTTAAAACATCTTCAATCCTTCAATCGGAATTGAAGGAATTCAGCATTCTCTGCTCATTTGTGTATGCCTGTTACGCCAATTAAAGCATACGCAGCCCACCAGCGTTATCGATTGCTAACTGTCTTGCGCATTTCTTGCTAGTTCTGTCCAGTTACTGATCATTCCTTTCATCTGTCGTTCGAATTTTACGCTGTGAGTTCCTACGTAAGATTTCTGTGACAGAGGAACTTTGTTTCATTTTTCATTTTTCAAAAATTATCCATAATCAGTGAAATTTCATACTTTTCATATTCACCAAAATTATAGCCATCAAACACACAAATCCATGAAAACATTCTGATCGTCTTCAGAACATTGTTCGAATACCCTGTGGTACTAGAGTAAGCAATGCTGTTGTTAGGTAAAAAATATAATGTAAAGATTAATGATCGATTGATGAACTGCCAGTTTTCGTCGTTTAGGATGGTTGGGACATGTATGTATGCTCAACCATCAAATGCCTTTGCATGCTGAGGTAAGTTGGAATAAAGCTAGCGGCAGCCAGGTCGAAGCATGGCACTAATGCATGAATCACTGATAGCCGGAAGTTGCCGTGATAGTATATGTCAAAATCCTGGCCGTGGTCGGCGACACGATAGTAACCGGTGGTTAGAGACTTTGAGTGACTTAGCTTAAAACCGTTCGTAAAGGCGCCAAAGCATTCATTCTTAGTTTTCTCTGATTACCTCATGAGTTCTGGAATTTTTTATTATCTGTTTTCAAATTGATTCCACTGAATTATAATTCTTGAATACTTTTTCGATTCGTGATCTTCTCCATTATTGCTAATAACACCTCTACTAATATGGATTTGGACTGACACCTTTAATTATATGTAAAAATGTAGTATGTCAACTTGAATTGTTTTACCTACGTACAATGTTCTACGTTGTAGCTCACTGCTGACTAGCAGTAATCAAATGTCTTGACTTGAAATATGTACGCAATGCTTAACAGTGTTATTAATAATATATTTATTCTGAAATAACTACGTAACAAGATTCATGCCAATTTACAGGCTATTACGTTTTCGCGTTAATCTCGATCTTTGCTTCCTAATTTTATTTGAATCATATCTTTCATATTTTTTTTATTCCTTAACTGAATAACTTCAAATAATGTTCATCATTAGCTAGTGCAATAAAAATCAGCTAATTAATGAATTTTTCCATGCTGTCAAATCGCAATGACTCCAAGCAGATGAAATTGAATGTATTTCATGACTTTTCTACAAATTTCACAGACTCAATCACTTTTTGACGTACACATGAATAAATGTGATTCTATAGAGAAAAACATGGGAAAAATTTACTATTCAGAGAACTAAAAACTAAACGATTGATATTTACTGATTATATATTTTTGAACTGTTACAGTTATCAACATCTCAAAATTGAGATATGTTATTCAAATTATGATGCAATAAACAGAGAACAAAAAACTGTCTGGAATAATTACTATCGTCAGTTTATGTGAATTAAAGGTCACATAGTTTCATTAGGATGTGTATTATATTTTAAGTACTAGGCAAGCAACATCACCGTTGTGAGTGTAGGATTGATTTCTGGAAGCTTCATTTGTGGAAATCCCTACATGTATAAATTGTAATTTGTCCTTATTGATTCATTCAGTCCTAAATATTATTAAATAGTATGTTGTCAATGCCATCACCTGTAATTTTAAAAACAGTCATGTTAATTTTGACAATAAATAAAGAATTTGAACGTTTCATATTTATGTGCAAATTATGTGTGCAATGACTAACACATTGATATCAAGTAAACCATTCAGTGATTTTTTTTATTATCTAAGACGAGGTCCCGTTTGTTGATGGAAGAAACGAAGAAATATTCGAAATCTTCACTAAACAACATCTCGCTTTTATGCATTCATCATATGATGTAAGAACTACTAATGCTACACTTGAAAATCTACCATGAATAATTTTTTAAATGTTATAGTTTCAATGTGAAGTAATATAATAACAAGTCACACTATGCGGAGACAGTGACAGATATAATGATTTATATATGTGTTTATATACAAACTGTTACGCTCGTCTCTTGGTATGTCTTAACTATCACGGGTTCACTTTTTTCGAATAAAGACAACAAATTAATGAACCAGCGTCCAGGTAGGCTACTGTGATCTGTTGACCAAACTGTACCAGCACGTTATCTTCATACAGCGTAGAAAGTGCATTCTACAAACATCCAACCAGCACACAATGAATCCAAGCACTCAAATTACGTTTATTTATACCCTATAGAGACGTCCCTGAGACAGTCACAAAAATAGGACACTAAAATGACTCAGCAACAAACCACAGCGGGCGATTTTTCTGGTGGAAAATGTTATCTAAAGGAAAACTGATCGGTACATGAAATAAATCCGAAATAAAGATATTTATCAGGCTAGTTCTGGGGATCTCACATCCACAACACATATATATTCTAGTTTTTCCGTTCATCCACAACTTACGATAAACACTGCTTCGCACCAACAAATAGCCGACAAAACTGCGCATCCAAACTAAATCACAAAGTAAGAAAAACATTTCATTATAATTCATTTTGCGAATATTTGATCTGTATTCAAAAAACAGTGATTATTCAAAGATATGCTGACTGCTGTGTGTGTGCTTGAATGAGCCGTCGAATGACGATAGCACCAAGGCAGCTTGAACATCATTGTCTCTCTTCGTTCTGTAAAACACATGGTCGGTATTATCTCGACGGTTATACATCATGAATCTTCAAATATTTTTGTGTGCAGAAAATCTAAAAAAATTATTCCAATAAAGCTTCCGCACAGTCAACTATGCATAAGTGACTGAACCTACCTTTTCTTTTGAATATTCGCAAGTATCGGATAAGTAAAGCATGTATTGATTTTATTAGTTGCGTATATTTCATGATGTTCAGTTATCAAGCGACATTCAAAGCTATTCTACAACGTTGAATCAGTCGCCACCTTCTATACGTAGACGTCCATGCTTCAAGTCAATATTTGTAACACGCAACTGACCTCATGTGTGTTAATAATCCCTTCAACTGTGGCAGATGATTTCACCAGTTTTAACTACCATTTGATACAATTACTATTGTTTATAGAGAGCGATATAATATATATATATATATATATATATATATATATATATATATATATATATATATATATATATATATATATATATATATATAAACGCATAAAGATCGGCATCCAATCGTTCATCAGAAACTTACAATAAACAGTTTGTCGCACCAACTATCGCCTGACTGGGGAGGAAATTGAATCTAGGATAAAGAAGAAAAAAGTATTCAATTTTAAATCATAATGTCAGCATTTGATTTGCTTACTAAAACAGTGTTCATCTACATGTTTGCTAACTGCTTTCAACATATAAATAATGCAGTGTGTTTTGGTCAGACGTTTAAATGTAAGAAATGGGTGTTGTGAATATTTTATCATGATTAGTTATTAGGTGACATACATGATAATCATACAATGTGAGATCAGTAATCACTTCCGTTATGTTGATAATTCAAGACAACTTACCTTACATGTATTCTTGCATATTATACATAAAATGCTGCAGACAATTCCAACTGCAACTAATGCACAGCAAACTATAAATAATATTTTCCTCCATTTTCCTTCTGACCCTATCATCCTTTCACCCAATATAGAGGCCAATATCAATACTACCAGTGGCACAATTGCCGTAATGACCTGTTCATACCAATCACCACGTATAGTCAATATTACAACACCGATAATCATCAAAATCAACTGAAAAGTAAACAAGAAATGTATTAGTTGCTAGTATGTGCTTTACATTGAGCAAAATTACTTAACAATAAGTGATGAAGGATCGATCTCATTTACAATCTCTGGAAGTCATTAGGTCAATCAATAAAATTTATGTAAGCTGTCGTTCACTCAGGTTTACCGTTCGGAAATGGAAAGATAGTTTGTCAGCGAATCTCCATGATCATTGTATATTTGATTGTTGCATCACCGAATTCATGTAACGAATATACTACTCGAAGGTTTTGAAGACAACAAAAGTACAACAAGATCCTATCACCTGAAAATTAATTCTACCTGGAGCATCAAATGAAGAAATACATATTGCGGAAACACGCGCTTCAAGATTACTCAAGCAAGCAGGAGGGAATATAGATAAAAAACGTTTTTGTGTTTCTCAACATAAACATTATCAAAACTGGGAAGCAAACAATAATTAGAACACAGATTTCTGTCTGTAGATACAGTCATCCATAGTTCATTCACAATCCATCATCATTTTCACAGTTAGCCCTGACCCATAAGTCGCTCCTATTCATTTTATATTCTCACATAAACATATCAATATTACTGCATGTGAAAGTGAATCCTGGCGAAAATCCAATTGCAAGAAATTTCTGAAAACTCAAAAGAAATAATAACAAAACCATAAACATAATAGAAAAACATGATCGACCTACGGTCAAAATTATGATGATGGTATTCCTTGTAGATGCAGTGTGTAATGCGTTGCTGAGTATTATGATGAATGCCAATATTAGACTGATTTCTCTGAAATATGAGAATAAAATGTTCAAAAAAGAAATCAAAAATACATTGAACTTGCACGTGCAAAATGTGGTCAGCTATTCAGATGAGCGACATTTTTATGTGGATATGTTCGAAAGATGATCAAATTAGAAGCATCAGTTAATGATTTTCATGATGATCAGATATTATTTGCCTGTGAAAAGCAAACGTTTGCTACAGAGATGCAGTCACTGTGACTTCGTTTTTGCATGAATTAATAAATCGATAAGCGTAATCGATCGGTCAGTTCAGGAAATTATCAAAAATTGTTATTTACAAAAAATAATAAAACCACTTTTTAATACTTCCATAACTTACATTAGAACTAGACTAGGTAAGTCAAGTGTCTTATTCCATTCAGTTGAGTTGAATCTGTCAAGTGGAATAATAAATATTTAATCAGTATCAGTTACTTACATACAACAATTTTTCCCGGTACAGGTGCTACTGGTATTTCCTGCTGACATTCCACCGAACGCCCAAGTTATCATGGTTGAAATACTTAGACTGGATAAAATCATGAACTCCATCTTTGAATGAAATCGCTGAAATTTTAGATAGAACAAATCATGTTTAGTAAGTGTGTGGAAAATGTGAGAATATTAATAGTTGTTTCCACAATTATTTACATCACCATCTTCGACTTTTGCTTGTTATGCATTCGTAGACATATCGTAGAGGTCAGACAATTTGTTTGACATCGTAGAATTATGCACTGCTGTAAGCAGTTGTCAATTGACTTCTATTCACCAATATGATTCACAGGCCACCAACTACTCGTAAATCTTTCTGTCTACAAACATATCTGCCTATCTCCCTATCTATCGATCCTACCACCTATCAATCTTTCCATCTATTTATTTACCCCTTGAAAAGGAATTGATCCGGCCATTGTACTGCAACATTCGAGATTAAACGACACTAAATGGAACCATCAAAATTAAATACGAAGTTATATTATGTTGCAAAAATTAGGAACTCACATCAATCCTCTACAAAATTCAGCTAACACAATTCAATACATTCAACGAAATTTATAACCTCATAAACCAACATGTATTGATTGACAAGCGATTATTGAATCACTGAACTTTGGACGAAATAACAGTTCAGAAGATGAGAATAACAACGCCGTCGAAAATTCAGTTGTAAATACAGTAGACTAAGTCAAGTAACACGTGAAATTACTTGTAAATGAAAAAAAGATGAACTACTTTATTATTTCGAAGATTTCATACAATAAATAGAGAATGTGGACATCAGAGATAACATCAATGAAAACATAAAGAATGTTCATTGTTTTATTAATTGTTTGAACAATTAGTTATTCGAATGATCTTAATCGTCAGTTCCCATAAACCATGAACATAAATTTGTACATGTTCGTGTGAAGTGATGATGAGAAGTAATACGTGATAACATTTTTCCAATCACTGGACAGTTATCAGTTGTGTCCGCTTGTCATGGTGTGCGTTGTAATACATGACGACTTGCAGCTTGAAGATGGATTGATTCCATGTCACTTCGCCTAAATAAAGAAGACTTCAACATAGATATATTCAAGCCAAATATTGAAAAATATTTGTGCGATCTTAAACGTTGTTGGAGACGTGTTCGAGTAACAGGAGAAGTATGATGGACGTTTATTAGCGATTATCATTCATTTCCGAAAAATCGAAGAAAGAAGAAGCAAATAATAGAGTACTTCCAAATTTGTTTGTCGATGCATACAAGTTAGGAGTGTTTTCAAAAAAGAGACGATTAACAGCCTCAAATCACCTCAATAAACAAGCTATTCTGAAACTGCCCACAGTTTTCAGTATTCACGAGCCTCATAGAAGACATAACAATCATAACCCAGAATCATATCAGCACGCCTTTTCTGCAAATAATTATTGATTCTGCTCCGGTACGAAACCAACTATTGGAAATCCATTGAATATTACTGCATCTTGAAAAAATATCCGTGCCGACCTTCAGCCTGTTTGAGTAGATTATGAGACGAATTATAGAAGTAAAAATAAATACGAGCAGCCGAAATGGCTAAAAATCCGAATGTTTAAGCGTTCCGGTATTTAAAACGTTCGTAGCAGAACGATCGCGAGATCACTCATCATATTACGTGAATCGTTGCAAAAAACGAAACGCATTCTTTTTTGCTGCTTTCAGTCTATAAAGTTAAATTATGCAGCTCAAACACATTTAGTCACACAAAACCCTGATACCATTAAAAATTCATAAACGTGGCTAAAGACAAAAGTTCACGGCAGTTGAATTCGAATAGCAAGTTTATGAGTTCACATTGCTTTTATTGAGATAAGTTTCCGTAATCACACGAGCAATCAAGCCATTGGCACTAATACTGAGGACGCGTGGATAAAAAAGAACTTGGTTCAAATACAAAATGCATGACCTCAAATTACTTTTAGCATATCGCAGTCCGAAATGTGTGGTAGAGTATTTCTACGTATATATATGATTACAGCCACCTTCTACCGTCGATCATGTGGCACTCTAGTTCAGTGGGATTGCCGATATACTATCTGAAGCAGATGAATTCACCTGTCGTCATATATAAAACAAAAGACATGAGGGCGATCGACTGTACAGCCTTTATTGAAAACTGGGAGATGGATTCAGTATCATCGGTTGAAGGAGCATGAACTCATTTCCGACAGTTGTGCCACCCATTTTCTTAACTGTTTATAATGACACCATCAACCTTGGCACAGGAAGTCCGATTGTATACTACGGGGCTTAAGCCCTTCAGACAGGGAAATTGGCATGAAACGAACTAAACACAAATGTCCTGAGACAAATTACATAACACATCGCTGCATCACTTGTCACAATATTTAAATATATTGCTTTATCAGGAATATCCCTTCTTCATTGTTATCGCTTTACGAGGGAATATCGAGTGTTTATCAGAACGTAATTCGTTTGTATCAGTGTTCATTATCTATCTCGAGTAGAACCAACATATATTTGTCAATGTGCTAAACACGTTAATGCGCCTTTTTCAATTTTTTGTTCATTGCAATAATAATAAACTTACTGTTCAACTCTTTTTACTCTTTAGACTCACGTTTTCGATTTTATAATGCTTTACACTTCCACTGAAATGACCGATAACCTAATCGATGAACGGAAATTAGTAAACGCCAGTGTGATGTGTCTGAAACTATCAATACGAAAGAATTTCTGACTTAAACAGTATCACATCTAACTACTTCATTTCAAGTCACAAACAAACTTGCTCATATAAAAAAACCGTCTATGGACACAATATTCAACAGTTATACAATAGAGAATCGCATAATAATAATAATCGATAACAACCAAGTTTTAGAATTCAAATTTTATGTGAGCTAACAATTACCAGTTGAAAACCACGTATAAATTTAAAATCATCAATATGCAAAGGCACAAAATGTTTGACTTAATCAAACCTGTTTATTTCTAGCTCACCTAATGATGAATATATGACCCAAATATACTTTTCCTTGTCATTGAGACAGTTCTGACATCATGTAAATATGGAATAACGTTTCAAAAAACCGTATTTATAACGATCAAAAATATATTTCAGAATCTTCTGATTAGACGTAGTGAAATGGAATTTCGGAACCACACTGTATGTAGTTTCCTATAAGGATATAATGCCAAGTGAATACCGCATATGATCAATATCATGGCAACACGGTTGCGAGATAAAGGTAGTAATAATCCTAGAAATTAACTAATTACTGCGGTAGTACATATGAAATACTTTTAAAAAGTAAGATACATCAAGATAACGCGTTCTTTGAAATTCACAAAGTGCGCTGCCACCTATGGATTATCACTGTCTTCATCTTGTCTGGTGATAGTCACAAGTACACACCGTGAGATAGAAAAAAGTGTTCAGATGAAAAAAATCAGTATTTTTCAGCTACTGCAGGAACAGTAATGCATGATATTCATCTTAACAACTCATGTTGATGTCACTGCTTAAGTGCTAAAGACCATGTAATATCCCATAGCTACTGATGTGCAAAAGTTGGTGCAGACGTTTGAACGACTTTTTCATTCATTTAGGTAAACTTCGGATCTTTCAGTTTATCCTGTGATGACCGTGCTTTTACACTAAATAACTATAAAAGTAATGTACAATTAGATAACGTGTTTATATAACTTCCGAAAATGTGTCCACGATTGTTTTTCAAATGATACATAATCAATCTTTCATTATTTAGTTATGAATATGGAGTTCATCTGTTTCGTATTGACCCTTCAAACGTGAAGGCTATCTGAAGAATCTATTCCAGAAACCATATCGGCCATACACTTGAACGGGATGGACACATTATTATTCCTTACTGAATGTGAAAGGGACTGAAATCATCATCCTGTTTGAATACTCATTCCAACGCAAATGAGCTTCGAAGGTCAACGTTTGTGAGCACCTAATGTGCTGAGAGATAGCTAACGCAATTGCGGTTTTGAACAGCTTGTTATCAAACAGTTTAGTTGATAGTTCTACAAATGTTTTGTGGATGGTCCCTCTGCTACATTCTATCAAACAACTTCTTTCAAATTTATTTTTTATTCCTTAACTGATTAACTTGAAATAATGTTCTTCATTATCTAGAGCAATAAAAAATCAGCTAATTAATGGATTTTTTCAGACTGTAAAATCGGAATGACTCCAGTTTGCACTTTGCAAATGAGCTGACAATCCTCTGGCAAACGCCAAACAAATATGAGAGGAGACAAGCACATTAGCAGCAGCCTCAGCAGCAGTAGCTCTTAGTATACACAAAAGCAAAATCAATAATCTCCGATACAATACAATGGGCAACAAACAAATAGCACGTGCTAGGCATATCTGTTCAGAATCATCGATGAGCAAAGTGGATCTCATGCCGATGTGCAAGCGCGGATCGGCAAAGCAAAGGCCATATTTTAACAACGTATAACAACTGTTAACTAACAGCAGAGTTGATTATTTTTAATACAAATGTGAACATAGTTGTACTCTATGGAGGAAAAACTCGAGGATCCACCAGAATTATCATTCAGAATATAGGAGTATTTTTACCAGTTTTCTTTGCAAAATACTTCGGCCAGAAACCATCGGCAAAAACCTACTGTGATAGAGAACAAACCAGATTTCATCGACGTATGAAAGAAGAAGCACTTGAAACGTCCAAAGAAACTTCACACCAATAAAACCCTTCAGGTAACGTATACGGCTGTGAACGAATATCTTCTTGTTTTGAATCTGGTTCAATCAGACCATTGTCAGTAATTTCTTCAGCTGGTAGGTAAAACATGGTAATTTAGGACTATAGTGCAGTAATTTGTTTTCTAATTCTTTGTAAAGCAGAGAACCCAGAAATATTTACTTTTGATAGAACAGTGAGAAGACGTAATTGATATGAAAAATGTGATGCATTTGCGCTATACATTTCGAACAATCTGGTCATACATATTTACTTGTCAAGGCATTTTATATGAATATGAATAAAAGGTCAATGAAATAAAAGTTCAAATAGACATAGGATGATAATTGTAAATAAAGGAGAGAGAAAATTAACGTAATATCAAAAGAATAAGAAGGGGTAGGAAAATTGTCACATTACCCTAGGCCTAAAAATTAACAAAGTAAATTCAAGGTTATGACTAATTGTTTCTGCACACATAAAGTAGGGTTTGAATTTTCTAATAGCCAAGGCCTCCATAAACCTCAAAATTCGTCCTTCAACATTTCTTCACAATGTTTTGAAGGCTGTCTTGATGTCAATCTTATGCCCTGTCTCAATTATCTGTTTGGCGATCGATAAACATGGTTTTCTATTTCCAACGTGGATCGGCTCATCTGACGTTGACTGATTTTGAAGCCACTTAGGTACATGTTTCACAACACTTGATTGCAAAGTCCGATTACTCCTCCCTATGTGTGTGTGTCCACACAAACATGCAAATTGATAAATACAATGAGATGTGATGTAATCATTAGAGCATCGTTTAGGTATATGCGAAATCATGGACTTGGTCTTTTCATTGACAATCAGTTAAGCAGCGTTGTACGTTTTCTCTATGGCTGCTTTTAGTCTCTGTCATATTATTAGACCATTTGCTTCACCTCTAAATGTTAAAGTGATATAAACCTTTTTCTTTTATCAGAATCAAACACTTGCTTTTGTCTTATCTGATTTCTACATCTTTTGAGGAACTTTAGCGGATAGCCATTTGAAATCAATGCTTTTCTCTCTCCTTTTATTTGCAATTATCACCCTATGTCTATTTGAACTTTCATTTCATTGACCTTTTATTCATATTCATATAAAATGCCTTGACAAGTAAATATGTGTGACCAGATTGTTCAGATCAATTATGTCTTTTCACTGTTCTATCAAAATTTATAAAAGGGACTAATTGTTTTAAATATTTACTTTCTTGTAGTCCAAATGCAAGATTCTAATAATCAATGTGAATAAACTATTGAGACATAATTCATATTAACACGACAAATTATTGTTTTACTTTTTATTTTGAGCACAATCTCCAGGAAAAAATCCTTTAACATAAAACTTCAATCATTTATGTCACAGCACCTGTTGTCAACTTCATACCACATTTTAGCAAAAAAACATAACATAAGTAATAAAGTAAAATCACACTAATATGTGGTCCAACGTAACTCAAATAGTAAAAACTTTGGGATACAGAGGTCTAAGGTGATAGATAAAAAATAGAAAATTTAGTGAACTAGGAAACACTGTTGGAACATACACATAGATATTGGATGGAAATTCATTTGTGATAATGAAGAACAGTCAGATAATTTGGTGGAAAACAAAACACTATGTCACAAGACAAGTACACACTTAGAAAATTCAATTTCAACCAAAAGAAAAATACCAAAAAACACAACACTGAGAACTAGTGGTTGCCATAAGAAGAATAAATAAAATTTTGACCCAACTAAAACTGGATACCCACGATATAGAAAGTTGAAAAATAATAGTATTCTGCCTAACCTCCGTTTGTGGTAATGTATCAGCATTCGATCTATAGTTATTCAAATTATTTTACATATGAACATCTACACTACATATACTACGTATACTCTTTTCATTCACGTTGATTGATGAGTCTTCTGAAATTACGTAATTAGGTATGTAAGCTGTTTTGTTAATGTATTTTACTACTCACGTGTGATGTGAGTAGATGAAAATAAACTATGAAATAAAACGGATGCCTATAATGGTAATTTGTGTTTCGTTTACGTTATAATCAACTAATATTGACCTGTTTTGTAATAAGGTTTTTCAATGTATGAATTACATTTTCTATATGAAATTGAATACATTTCATGAAATTTATATTTATTTCACAAACGCAATCACTTGTTCAACTGCACATCAATAACTGTAATTCTGTAGTGAGAAAAATTGTAAAACTTCATTATTCAGAGAATTAGAAATGTTGCCTAACAATAAGTTAACAATTGTTATTTGCGCATTACATAATTTTGAACTTTCACAGCTACTTACATTTCAACAGTGAGACGTGGTATGCAAATTAGCATAAAATAAACAGAGTAAGGTCTGTTTTGAAGAATAATTATTATCGTCAGTGTATGTTAGGTAAAGGTCACATAGTTCTATCTAGATGTTATTCATATTTTAAGAACTAATAAAACAATACAATCATTAAAGGTACTTTCAGAATACTTTTGACACATTACACGTAGAGCCCGTTAAGTCTTTCTGCACTTCCAAAGTCTGTGTAAAGGATGGTTGGGTGTAGTGTCGGCTACTCGATAACGTCGAAAAAAAACTAGCTGAAAAGTCTAATCGGCATCAAATGAAATTTGTAATCAACTAAATAAAATAAACAAATTTACTCAAGTTTTATTCATGGCTGTTCCACAGCACACACAACAACAAATTTAGGAGAAGATGTTTAGTGTAACAACTACCACAACAAAGGTTAGTCTCAACCCACGTAAATAGAAAATCAAGACTCTCTGATACACCACAACATGCGGAAACCAAATCACACTTGATGTAGATACCTTTGAAGACGTAAAAAATATAAAATATCATTGACGAGTAGGACGTATCTGCTGGAAATAGACGGCGTGAATCGCCAAAGCGATGGCTGCATTTCTGTTGTCGAAATGTGTTGTCGTGTTTCACAATCACTTAGCTGTATTCTGTAGTGGAAATGAATGTGTTTACATAAAAATGTGTACATGAAGATTTCGTGTTTTTATAAACATAATATTGAATAAATCTATCTTACGCACACTCAGTATGTGGGATATGACAGTTTATGATTCTCAGACTAATGATGGTTTTGGTATACAGGGGCATCAGAGATGTTTCCAACTGCGTTACAAGGCATGCTGTCACTGGGAACACTCAATATTAAAAGACAACAGAAAGACCAACGAACACATTTCGCCGTTAAACAGGGACAAACATGAGGAGAATGAACAAAAATATGATGGAACTGAAATTGGAAGCCTAGGAATGATTAGGTTAAAGAATGGTGTTCTGAGGACTATGCTCTATTGTGGAGGGGGGGTGTTATATGTCTCTCTTATTAAAACCCAGCTATTCATAATGCTCAGTATTCTGGGACACTAATCCACCTAATAAGTCCTAAAATCAGAACACGTTTGAACATGGATGAGATTATATTCGAAACAGCAAGGGTGATATGGAAGTAAGAAGCCGAGGAAAAGGCGAAATACGAACAAGGTTAGTATCTTTATATTTTTTACATTGGAAGCTTCTAGCATATTATCCAAGTATAGACTAACGCTGATTGGATAAGAATCAGCCTATCAGCGTGCAGCAACAATATCATGCTTCAGTACAATTTGTTTCCCGCTAAAATAGATTAAAACGCCTCAGTAAGTAATGAAGGATGAACAGGAATGGTCATGTAGCTGAATCAACAAAGATTGCTCATTTTAATGCGCAGTTTATTCATTTATGAAAGTAATTATTTGTAGTGTGCCGATTTACTGCGTGTTCTTAAGCTCGGTTTATAAATCAGAAGATGAACTCCAAGTATCGTATACGTTTGTTGTAGCACACCACAATAAGGATAGCAGAGAAGCGAATTCGAGAAGGCTAAGAGCCAACTCAAAGAGATAGTGTATGACTAAGAATATATAGTCAGATAAGAATAAGACAGACATATGACAAGCGAAATAGGTATGCACACACATGTGAATAAAAGCGACGAATGATTGACAAGGTCAAAAGCAAGCGATACAAATCATGTGAGTTCATGGGAATATTACGAGATTAACATTAAAGCGAAAAGGATGATTAAGTGCGTAAGCGTAAGCAATGCTCAGTCGTACAAGCTCATACAAAGCAGATGATAAAAAATACCAATGGTACATATGAGTTGTTGCTATACAAATGTCTTGGTTAAATAAATTAATCGAAAGGGCTTAAGCAAATTAAATGTAAGCGGATGCAAATAAATGTGGAGGCACTACATATTAAATTAAATTCTAAAATTATAGTATTCTTCACGTTTTTTATTTCAAATCATTCAATCAACTATAAATTCCAATTTAAATCAATTTTTTCATTGAAACATACATTTCATTCACAAGTTCAAATTGATTGATTGGAATCATTCAAAATGATTGACTGAATTTGTGAAGACAAAAGTTTTCAAATGATATATGATGTCAAATTCACTAGAATCACAGTTCAATCCATTTGAATAACATACGTGAAGTTCATTTAAGTTAGTGTATTATCTTGGTTACTCAGAAATATGCATATATCATGTTATGTAAGTAGTATAAGTGTGATTACACAAAATAATTAGTCGTAAGGTGATCAAACTTAACAATGTAAGTTTCAAAAGGGCTGTCCGTGCAAAATACGTTTCAATCAATAAGAACACAGCTAGTGGCATTCATTAACTCATTCATTGAGATACACACAAATAGGGATGAACTCTGATTACTAGTTAGTACTATAGTGTCATAAGACAAGAATTTTACGTGATCTCTTTTACACTTCTCAGCACAGTTGTGGCCAATCAAGAAAACAATATCAGTATATAAATTGTACAGCAGACATTTAGAACTACAAATATTCACAATGTCATCATCGAAACTACAAATGAGGTATAGTTCATAGTCTATTAAAATAATGTTTGCTTTTCGTTTATAACAGACATTCAAGGAGTATACTTCTCGTCATTTTATTGAAATATCTTATTGGAACAATACAGTCCAACGGTTTGGCAACTTTCGATCAGATGAAGTATATGAAGGATGTGATTAGTCGTAGTAATTATGAAAAGATTCAATTGGTCAATGATACATATAGAAAAGTAAAGATATTTCGATAATCAAAATTTTATATCTGATTAGCCGTTTCATTATTATTACAATCAAATAGTTTGTACAAATTGTCCACCTCCAGTTACATTGAATACTTTTCTAAAACATAAATCCTCGAAATCGGTAAGTTAACTTTTATCCTTATACAGAGAAAAAATGTTGATGTTATTCATTAACTAGTCGAAATTAATGAACATTGAACAAGTATTGGAATTTGAACAACTGGATGTGGTTAGTTTGAAATTTCACACTTGACAATAATGAAATAAACCTTTTATAGTCAAAACGACTTTTATTTTATCCTGAATATTATGGTTCGATTCAAGATGGCGTTTCTGTTTCAACTGACGGTATGAATTCGAATATGTTTTTTTGAAAATTGATTATTATTTTCATAATTTAAATAATGAGTATTGTTTGTTTGAAATAAATTGCATTGTTGGAACTTTTTTGAATAGGTTTATTTGTATTTCATAAGTCATAATTACTGAAATGAAAAAAGTGTAGTGACAATAAGTCATGCTACAATCAGTGTTAAAAAAATACATGAACAGATTTGTATTTGTCTTTAAAATAATGTGAATGAATTGATGGCTTGTGGACAGAAAATTTCATAACAATTAATTTGATCCGAAATATGATGTATTGAGTTGTACTATAAATGCACAACAAAAAGCCTTGTCAGTTATTAAAGATATTAAGTAGCATAATCAAAAAATCAGGGAGACCATATACTACAAACTGAGGTAATTACTCACTCAAATTAAATAGAATATGGCTTGAAATAGATTCAAAGACGTGCTTCTTGTTTTAATAGAAAGCTTCAGCTGGATGTATTTGCATTCCAGAATTGGTGTTCACGCTGGATCTTGGACTCAATACCTTCCGCTCTATATGCAGTCGGGTTATTCAGAAAGCTATTCATCATCATCATCAGGACCTGTTTTTATAGCTACTAGCTCATGCTGCAGCTCGTTTAGCATACGCCACCCAAAATACTCTTGAACCTATTCTGTCCTGAGCTCTTATATCAAGTTTCTCACAAACACTATTCAGCCTTTCGGTCTCTGTCTCAAATTCTCACCACAGTTTGTTCTCTGATCTTCCTGTATTTTTGGATTCCCTTGAAGATTCCGGATAAGGGCTTGTCTCATGACTTACTTAGGGGATTTCTTCAGAGTATTAATTTATTACTTAGCTGGACTCCAGTGTTTCTTCTGTAACTGCAAATTATTTGTGATGGTGTCTGGTTGCTTTTAAGTAAACATTTTTGCATTTCGAATGACGGTTTTTGTTTCCTGCAAGTTTTTACCTCATACAATAAAACTCTTTTGACGTCTGTATTAAAAATTAGGACTTTGGTTTTAGTTGACGGCTGTTTTGCGTTCGGAATTTTCTTTGATTATTGAAATACTATTCTTGATTTGCCAATTCGTTGTACGTCTATGTAAAAATTGCTAAATATCACAGCCCTTCACCATCAAGTGTGATTTCATTGATGATCTATGTTTTGCATCTAAACATCATACATGTTGTTAGTGAAGAGACGTAATGCTGTAGAGGTTGTTGCTAAACTGTCAAAGTGTCATTCTTTTTTATTCATTCAAAGCTTAGTAAACTTAATTTCCATTCAATCACAAATGTTTGTGTATTTTTGTTTGCTTATTTGATGATACTTTGTTAATATGATCAACATTTTTCATTTACTTTGATCAAGGTCGGATACTACTTGGACAATCTGATAAATTCCATGAAACAGTAGGTATTGTAGCATTGAATGGTGTAAAGGATATGAGTAAACTGTAGATAATCAATAATGGTAAGCTACTTTATTATGTATATAAATCATCATTAGAAAATTTCAAGTTTAGTTTGACTAATATATCCTTGAAAGAATAAAAGTTATGGTTGATGATTTGAATATTATACATCCCAAAGCAATTCATTCTGTAATTATTTACAATATAATCGAATGAGAATAACCATTTTCATGTAGTCCATTGATTCTAAACACGACTTCTAACGTTGAGATATATGGTAGTGATTGAGAACCTTTCTTGCAGAAGTTAATCTTGAAGTCGACAGGTAAATTTGGAAATGTCCAACGAGATTTGTGAACATGCGCCATGATTTGATCAGATATGATCATGCAACCTTCAAAAATAAGTGAAGTGTTAAATGGACTGAACTGCATTTCCCATTATCATTTTAGATTCGGCATCTTGACCAGACTGTGCATTTACAGTGACAGATACACATATATAGAACGTTTTTATCACTGCTCAATGTATTTAGAAGATTGAGTTTTCGCAGTATATTTACCCAAGTAGATCTATTTCATTTGCGTACTAAAGTTTGTCAGTGTAACATTTTGATGGTGTCTTGATTCGCAAAATGTTTGATAACACATATCTCTAATGTACTTTCGTTACAGCCGACCTGAGTTGTTGACCATTTCTAAACCAGATATTCTAGTTTGAGATGCTTATTTGTCTGAAGTAAACATTTTCAATCTTATTATGTCCTGATACATGAAACTTGTAAAGTTCTGCATTGAATGTTGGGTGGCTACTGTCTACTCACCACGCTTTATTGCACATTCAGTAACAATCTTAGAAGAATTCAAGGTGTATACTTATCACATCTATTAGTACCAATGCTAAAAAGATAAGTTATTTGAGAAAAAAAATTCATTATTAAATAGTAATATCAGTATTTTAATTTTTTTAGAAAGAATATTTGCAGTGAGATGGCCTCAAATGATTATTATTTTCAAAAATAATACATATGGAGGTATGCACTGAAATGTGGTGAAGATATTTATATACACATTTTTCAAAATATTTTTATATAACATGAGTTTTTTTTAACTACAAACAAAATAATTGTAAGTTTTACCAAACAATACTACACAATTATTACTGATGCTTGATTGAAGAAGTTGAATAACATACTATGTTGATTGAGATGGAATATAATGTTACCTTAGTTAGGCTTTTGATGTACAAACAATGAACGTAGTATAATAAATAACATGAATTCACTTTATTTCGTCTTCATGTGACCTAACTAACAGAAAAAACGACCAAATTAACCAACTGAGTACGGATAGGATAAGAAATGAGCATCAATATTTAACATCAATCGAATGACCAGGAACAGTTAAGACTAACAAAGGAGTCTTTCTTAGTGCACATATCCCATGCAGATCTTCATTTAGAGTGTTATAGAGTTGGACGTTTTACGCTGAAGTCATGAAGGAATCAGTGTAAAAACACCATTGGAAACCTCATAACACTGTTTTGCCGTTTGGTCCTAACGTAGGACACAGCAGTGTTCAGTCGCAACTCCTGCAACTTGCAGGATTCCGAAACACGAAAACCGATCTTGCTCGCAAACACCTAACCTCTCGTGAACTAGGCGGCAATCCTGCTGTCTAACAATGATTCATTCATAATTTCAATGGAACACTACAATCGTTTTGTGCATAAAGTTGGTAAGAAAGAATATATAATTTCGACATGCACTAGAGACGTTTAAAGATCAAAATGGTGATCATTAGTGTAAGTGCGTAGAATTGAGTAGATAGTGAGCCAAGTATGGTTGCTTGTATGACTCGATTCCATGCTGATGACAGAGAGATTTCGCATTTCTTTTATACTGTTTCGGCTAGTCTCCTATCACCATAGTTAGAAGAAGCTTTCTGAATGATTTTGATATGTTTGACATCAATTTAGTGGTTATTGTCATGAGCCTGAACTGCTGTTTCCCATTTGGTTCGTATGTTATCTATTTCTATGTAATTTTTAGGAGGCAAACCTATTGAAATATTCATGTCCGGTAATAAGTAACCTTCCCTATTCATGTAAAATAAGTCATTGCACGAAGACGCCGAAATATTTTACGAACGCATAAATTCATCTAATGTCTAGTAGTGAATCAATCAGATTTTTGCATTTTCTAACTCAGTTAAATCAAACTTATGTTTCAATGATCGGATACACTACAAAAGTGTATTTAGTATTTTCCTCACTTTTTTGTTTTAGCTTGAGTACTTTGTGAAATACACCCAAATGGAAAGATAGTTATTTATTACGAGAAAGTAAGTTATTCATTGTTTACTGACTGGTTGATATCCTTAGGTTTAAAGATAAATTTTCGATTTCTATCAGTGACATTGTAATATTTGTAACTGTAGCAAAGATTAGTCGAAAATTCAGACTGTTCAGTTAAGTGTCTGTGATTTAGCATTAAACTTTATAATAAATTTATTGACTACTGATAACATTTTAAAACAGTATCTAGCAATTAAACAGAAACAATATGTTTTTGTAATTATGATGAATGCATTCTTTACACACTGAATATCATTCAAACATACTTTATTAATTTCGAAAGGAATTTACATTGAAATGTACCTAGTTCAACATTGATCATTGAAATTTCAATGAAAGTTTGTTTAAACAAACGAACATAAACTCTGTTTATATTTTCTGTTATTTATTTTTAAGGTACCGATTAAAGTATTGAAGTCCGATTTACAATCGCAAATTATGGATGCTCTGTTTGTACAAGACGGTAAAAGCGTATATTTGCATATATATTTCTGCCTTATTTCCGTGAACTTGGAGGTGGTGAAGAAGATTTGTCCCTCAGGTGGATGATTGTGGTTGTGCTTGGTTCTTGAGATGGAAGTGCTGAATTTTTTACTGACGATGTTGTTTAGAAGAACAATGAAAGCTTCACAACCAAAAACATAGAGCTAAGAGAACCAAACATCACTAAAGTTTCCTTGAATGTAATTCGCTTCAACAGAAAAATTTAAAATATTTGAACCGACAATTATCTACAATATTGATTTATCTTACCTTAATCAGTTATAATAATCTGATAATGTTTACTGTAATGGAGTTTCGTTGTCTAAGCTAAATTTTTTTTAGTTGTGGAGATTTAATTGTTCTTCTGATTAAAGAACGAATCTTTACTACTCTCATCCACCTGGGCTACAAATTTTCGCTATCATCTCGATAACTTTTATCGAATTTCGCAGATGTTCAGTTTCCATGTTTCAAATGTTATGTTGTAACAATCCCAAAAGTAGGGGAGTTGACTGTATACAAATCAATTCTTACACTAACTAAACTTTTTAATCAGCGTAACTTTATGTTCAGTCCAAAGAAGTTGTCATAAACCTTCGGTTTAACCAACTTTTCACCTCTTCTGAAGTTACTAATCGCTCGTCTTTTGACCTTGTCATCTATTCGCTTTAATCTTGGTTGTCTTTATTACAACATGTGCGTGCACTGCTTGATTCGCTTATTACATATCAGGTTAATTATTGTCGGAGTATAAATAACTGGTGATACCTCATTACAT